TTAGTAAAGATTCTACGCAATGTTTGATAAATGAGACACCAGAACCTTGAAATGAACCCTGAAGCACTGAACAGCAGTAGCTCAGGAGGTAGATTAATCAGAAGGTTGCAGGTTTGATCCCGGCTCTGACCAGAGAATGCTGCTTGTGTCCAAGGACAAGACACTTACTTATTGCACCGCCTTGCCTGCCAGTGTCAGAGGGACCACTGGCGCCAGTGTTCGGCAGGCTTTGTCTCTATCAGTGTGCTCCAGGGAAGCTGTGGTTACATCATAGCTCATCCCCACCAGTGTGTGAATGTGTGAGTGAATGGGTGAAATACTGATTGTGTTATGAAGCGCCCTGGGGGGTTGTAGAACCCTAGGAAGGTGCTGTATAAATACAGGCCATTTACCATCTGACTGGCAGCCAGTGAAGCGGGAGGAGAAGCCGGGTGATGTGGGTGTACTTTGACGATTTGGTTCGGAGCCGAGCACAGGCATTCTGAACCACCTGTAGATGGTTCTAATCAAAGGACATAAAGTCATTTAAAATGCCAATGAAAAAAAATGTACTTTAAATTTTAATTTGACAAACGGATCTATCTTTTATGACAATCAACATGAAGGTATTCAAATTTATACTAGTAAAAATGCTTCTTGAAAAAATAAAGAGTTTCTGCAGATCATTTCATGACAAGAGACCAACTCTACTTGGAGTTTTTTGACACACAGGGTTCCCAACCCCAGCATTGGGAATCGGTGACCTGGAAGACTCACAATCGTAAACCTGTAATAAAACAACTGCTTAAGTTCATTAGTGACCTAAATGTACTTATTATTTTCATCTTCCTTGACATCAGATTTTGACATCCTCTGCATTTATACAGGAATTTACACACTCCTGAGTGTGTGTATGTGCGTGTGTGGGCATATGTAATTTCTCTGATATCAAACAGAACTTGTATAGGACCACCAATTTTGGACCAACAAGACATCCCTAGACCAGAGATGTAATGTCATGAGGACATTCCATTGTAACTGCACACTCTGTATTTTTCATTTAATTGATTTTGTTTGACTTTCATGTTTAAAAAGCAAGTCGCCCCTAACAGAATCTTACTCCACTCCCACTTCCTGTTTTAAAAATGTAACAAATGCTGTTGCCTGGCAGACCGAGAAGGCAAAGCCGCTAACTAATACACACATACTATTATCGACTTCCGTATTATTGAGGTTCTTTGTAAAATGTTTTTTCCTATTTTTATTCACCCTGTGTCTTATTGATTTTTAGCTGTTATTTTTGGGAATTTTGTTGTATTTCCTTTTTATCTTTTATCTGTGTTCGACATGTTTGTATATTTTTTTTGCCGGTTTAATTAACCAACATTTTTAGTGTACAGCGCCTTGTTTGGTTGTAATGCCTTGTGAATGCGCTTTATAAATAAAATTGGATTGGATTGGATTGGACATACAAAGACTCACAACAACATTGTGTCATCATAATGTAGTGACAAACTTCATAGTGTACCTCTTAGCCAATAGCGATGGCAAATTTAAATTCAAATGCAATGCAGTTTTTACCTGACGACAGCGCAACACTGACAGTTTTAGATAGAATACATAAATTTTAACAAAGATGCGCTAAAGTGCTAAGTTATTGACTACACGGTTCTACAGCACAATTAGATACTCATTTATATAGTTTTTCAGCAAAAAGAAGTAGGTTTGGTGGTGACTTGCTCTTTAAGCTCTTAGTTTTACAGCACTAACAAGAAAGGACCAAAAACAAAAGAAATACACACAAAAAAAAGAATACCATAATGAATATTAACCCTCTACTGCATGACTTTTTAATTTTTGGGGAAAAGAATATTTCACCCAATTTAGGGGGAGCTTTGGGGTCCCTAAAAATACATCAATAAAAAAGTTTGACCCCAAGCCCCCAAAAAACAAATTTTGATTTGTTGCTTCAAGGCAACATTGTGCAACAAGGGTCGTAAAACACCAACCTATTCTATGATCATTTTTTCATTAACACAACCAGCAGAAACAGACAAACAACTAATGATCAATGCTAACATTTAATTGGACAGTAAAACATCAGAATACAGTACTACTAACATATGATCAAGGTTCTCTTGGGGATTCATTTTGTTCATTCAGTGTGAAATATCAGAAAGCAGTTGCGGTCGGGAGTGAAGCAAAGGTGCACATTGCATTTGCGGCACATTGCTTTGGTGTACCATTGCACCCTGGCACCCTGCATCGTCCCTTGTTCCCAGTCATGATCAGCCAGTGGGCTGTGTGATCCAGGCTGGACTGGAATGGGAGCTGAGCGCCTATTTTATATGTAGACTACAATGCCAAAGAACTGCTCTAACTCATTTGTGGTAAGGTTTAGGGGCTTGTAGGGGTCGCACTAAATTGCATACACATTGGATTCTTCTACAATAACTTCAAGAATATCTTTAGGGAAGAACTTTTTGAAGTATTGTAGGGGGACAGTATGTCATCAACTTTTGGCAGCTGGCCCTGACAGTCTGGGTGGCAACGATAGGGCTGTGTACTTTTCTCCATCTTGGAAGGTAAGGCACTTCAGCCTCACCTTCATCTGAATCTACCTCTTCCTCACAGTCACTGTCTTGTGGCTGATGTTCATCTGAAAAGAAAATGAGAAATTTTAGAAAGAAGTATTGCAACAGGAAAACCTGCACACATGTGCGTGCACATTTACGCACGCACGCGCGCGCACACACACACACATTTTATCACCTGACCGTTGAGCTCCTGAGTGTCCCTCAAATCTGATTCAGGGATCCACTCCTCCACTTCCTCATTGTCACTCCCTGATAGCTTGCTGTCTTCACTGTCCGAAGGAATATCCCTAACTGCAAATTCCTTAGGATCTCTTCTGTAAAATGATTTTACCTTCATGTCCTGTAATTATCAGTAGACAAAGTAAAAAACATTTACTAAGATCATATAAATGCACATAAACACAACTTTGCACACACCAGTGCTCATGCATTATATTGCCTGAAAATAATTTGGCTAACTGCACAGTGTTGCCTTGAGGCAATGAAAGAAATTGAACACTTTTACTGTATAAACAAAACTAAAAATGTATTTAAAATGTAATATTCTTCTTTACTTATTCATGCACCAGTAGCTATTTTTATATGTATATATATTTCAACATATGTACACAATAAAGTGATTTTTATCTTACCTTCAAACAGAGATGTTGCCCATGCGGTGCAGCTTGCAGAAAGGGTAATCCTGTACCCCAAATAAAAGACACACATCCTTAAAGTCATCATTTTATTGGCCAGAAATATCCCTGGTAGCATTATTTGAAAAAAAATATATTTTTTTAAAAAGGGCCAGTGTGAGGTATGAAAATGTAGTTTGTTGCCTCAAGGCAACGCTATGCTGTAGAGCAGGGGTGTCAAATATGCGGCCCGCGGGCCGAATCCGGCCCGCAAGTGGGTTAAATCCGGCCCGCGAGATGGTTGTGTAATCTTTATTTTCATACTTTACAATGTAGAGTGAAAATAAACGTATCATTGTGAGCAAGTTTCCTCTGTAATGAGTATAAATAAACCAAAGCTGCACTCAAGGCAGAATCACATCCTGAAGTTGGCCGCCACTCAGGATGTGACTTCTGATGTTGATGTGCTGGTGAAAGCTGAAAGATGTAAAGTAAAATGAGTCAAATATACTTTAAGTGCTGCATGAAACTGATCTAGCCATGTGATCTGTAAGCTCTTTGTATCACTAAGGAATGTTTTTTTTTAATTTGTTGATTTATTTATTTATTTATTTATTTTTATTTTTTCAAATTTTCAAGTACACTTCAGGTGTTGTACCTCAGGCTCCAGCCTCGTTTTATATTGATTGTATTAAAACAAAGAAAACAATCTGAAGTTTTTTTTTTTATTTACCGATCCGGCCCACTTGGGACTAGATTTCCCTCAATGTTGCCCCAGAACTAAAATTAGTTTGACACCCCTGCTGTAGAGGGTTAAGATAAATGAAATTTAAATCTTTTGTTGGAAAAAAATCCTGAAGAGCATAGATAATGGATATTTCTGACTATTCCCATGAGCTCAGCATTTTAAATTATATTTCAAATTGGCCCTATCTTAGTTTAGAACAGCTTCTTGTCCATAATTTTCCCTCAACACATTTTTCCCCAGCCGTTCCCAAACTTTCCAAAAATGAGAGACAGCCTCTTTAGGATTTAGGTTCCTGTTTACTTTCTCTAAACTCAGCTACTTTTCTTCTGTGAAAACCAAACCTAAAATATATACTTGAAAAACCCTAATTTTTCCCATAATAGCAACTTATGTTGATTTGCCTGTGTGTATTGTTCCAGCTGGCTTTTTTCAAGTTTGACATTTATGCATTAGTTGTACAGTATTATACATTAGTTGTCATACCTAGTTTCTCTATTATTTGCCCAGTTTTTAAACATGATGGATTGTAAATTATATTCAAAAAGCGTAGGCTTAACAATAAATACCCATACACATATGAACATAAATATTTTACAGTGGTTTTATGTAATTCTGTGTTTTTCAAAAATATTTATTTATATAATTGTGTTGTTTTGTCTAATTTGGTTCTTTTTAATTTATTTGCTTGAAGGAAGCAAATTGATGACGTAATTACATAATTTTAAAATCAGTTCTTGACTCCTTGTACTGCTTGTGTTTGGGTGGAGAAGCTTTACAGTATTTTAGATTTAAGTTACACAAATTGCAGCTTCGGCCTCTCCCGCCACTGACAGTAGCGGTAACTAGAGATTCAAAAACAATACGTCATCCCACAATGCACCGCGCTCACGCTTTCCTTACTGCATTACCTCATCCCACAATCCACCGCGAGATTAAGAATCTTCTGGGTGGTCGTCCAGGCAACGCGCCTTATCGGAGGATTTAACTCCGCCTCGAGACACGCCTTCCAGCCAATGAGAGAGCCCCTTCATGACATCATGATTATTTTTAGAGAGGCAGCGGCAGCAGATAAGGTTGGCCTCCACGCTGCCTGTGTATACACACAGAGGCGGAGCGAGGAGCACACAGGCTGCTGGAGGCTCAGAGGAAAAGTTTTAGAGCCGTTCGGCGCCGTTCACTCCGACTCTAAACAAGTGTGGATACTCTGATGATGCCTGTGTGAACTCAGAGCTAACGGCCGTCTCCATGTGACAAAAGTAAGTGTTGGTTCAAGGCAGCGCGCGCTCAAACTTTGGAAGTTTGTTTGCACACTTTTGGGAGCCAGTGTTTTCCTCAGTAACCAGGAAGAAGGAAAAAAGGGGCAAAAGGAAGTTAAGAAGATTTTTTCCCCCTTACCGAACTCTTTTTCATTGTTCTATGTATACCAAGATGGAAACTACTTTCTATGACGACTCACTCAACGCTTTCTCCCAGCACGACAACGCAGGCTACGGATACAGCAACTCCAAAGCGCTGAAGCACAACATGACACTGAACCTGTCCGACCCCACTGGCTCTCTCAAGCCGCATCTACGCGCTAAAGCCGGGGACGTGCTCACCTCCCCTGACGTGGGTTTGTTGAAGCTGGCCTCCCCGGAGCTAGAGAGGCTCATCATCCAGTCCAGTAACGGACTCATCACCACCACCCCGACCCCGACCCAGTTCATGTGCCCCAAGAATGTCACCGATGAGCAGGAGGGCTTCGCGGAGGGATTTGTCAGGGCTCTGGCCGAGCTCCACCATCAGCACATGCCTGCCACAACTTCAGCTCCCCAGAGCAGCGTTAACACCCTGCCGCCTGTGTCATCTGTTGCCGGGGCCACCGTTTACACCAACAACACCGCCATGCGCGCTGACTCACCAGTTTATGAGGACTTGAACACTTTTAACCCGGCCATCAGCACCGTTTCGGTACCAAATTACACCACCTCGGCCCCGACCATGTCCTTCCCCGACCATGTCCTTCCCCGCTGCCCCATTTACGGCCAGCCGTCCTCCGCCCAGCTCCCCAGGCTCTCTGCGCTCAAAGAGGAGCCCCAAACGGTGCCGGAGATGCCCGGAGAGACCCCTCCTCTCTCACCAATCGACATGGAGAGCCAGGAGCGCATCAAGGCGGAGAGAAAGCGCATGAGGAACCGCATCGCTGCCTCCAAGTGCCGGAAGAGGAAGCTGGAGCGGATCTCAAGGCTGGAGGACAAAGTGAAGAACCTCAAGTCCCAGAACTCCGAGCTGGCCTCCACTGCCAACATGTTGCGTGAGCAGGTGGCCCAGCTGAAGCAGAAGGTGATGAACCACGTCAACAGCGGGTGCCAGCTCATGTTAACGCAGCAGCTCCAGACCTTCTGAGGGGTTGTCAGCGGCGACGGAGAGAGAAAAGACTGGAGTTGGTGGAACTGGGACGCTTCCTGTGATTTCCCAGCAACTCGTGCAGGATTTGGGACGATGTGGAGCTGTGACTCTGGCAGGATTGGGGCTGCTGATGTGGAGGGCGCTCCCCGGCGGCGCGTCCCAGAGAAGGGCTCGGGACAGTGACAGTAGCCATGAACCAGACGGGGACCTGCAACGAGCAGGACACCTCTCTGTTTGTTTTGTTTTACAGAACCAAACAGGACTGAATTTTCTTGATTTATCTCCAGCTCTGCATGGACCTCATCTCTTAGGAGAAGTTCAGCAGTGGACCTGAAAAATCTTCAGAGACTTTTCTTGCTGTAGCCATAATGGTCTCAAACTTGAGTCAACACTAAATGGATTTAATATGTAACAAATGCTGCCGACCTGAGTTACAGAACATCTTTTTCTTAATTGTAAGAAATTAAGTTAGACAAGCTTCAAGACTTACTTGTTTTTTTCTAAAGCTGTTCAATGGGGTTTCACTCATTATTATTATTATTGTTATTATTATTAATATTATGTGTATATAAGATCAACTTGGAGTACTTATGTTTACTTTTGTTATAAAAACTGTATAATTTTTTTTATTTTTTTCTGAGCACTTCAGAAATGAATCAATATTTAAGAGAATAAAGCAGATCAATTGAAGCAACAGTGTCTCTGTGTTCTTGTTGGAGTGACAGAAAAAAGTGGGTGTGCCAAGTCAGGAACTCAAACAATAAAACATGTTGCAACATGTTGCAAGAACTGCTAGTTCTGAGAACCTGAAGGTAAATTCCATTAGAGCTGGTATTGATCCAAGCTGCGAGATTGCATTACAGCTACCAGAACAGGCTCACTTACTGATGAGAGCCTTTCTGTGCACGCTGGAGTTTAGAGCGCTACCTTGACTCAGCAGGTTTACAGAAGCGCATCTTCCTAACATGATCACTGTAGCAGCACGACTGGGCTGCAGGATTAAATGAGCATTGTATTTCTATTGAATAAATAGCTGCATTTGGTGAGTAGGGTTAGGTTAGAGGACAGGAAGTCCTCTCCAGCTCCATCATTCAGTCATCCAATTACTTCATGTTCTTTTGAAATAAAAAAATACCTTTATGTGTCAAAACAAGTCCAAAGAAAGGATCAGGACTTATATGAGAATGACATTTAAGTAAATCATAATATCTCTGTGTTTTGACTTACAAGTTTCATAAAGTCATTCAATGTGACAGTCATTATTAGAGTCCTTAGAAATATAGGTGCTTTCTCAAAACAAAAGAAAACAAACAAACTGAAAACAAATAGTTTTGCTTTTTAAAAATCACACATAATTAGTGCTGTGAATTCTTCTAATCTTTCTGGCAGTTCAGTCTCTTAAAATGATTTTTTTTCACAACCGTGGATAATATCAGAAAACAGTAAACAATATGAATCTCATGTTTTCAGAAAATGTTTGTTTATTTTAGTTTTACTTTAATTTGGGTTTCAGCTAGCCTGGCAAGCCAGACTAAATAAATGTATTATTTAAACTTTGCTAAGCAAGAGTTTGCTCTAGTTCCCTAGGCTGGGTTTCAGCAGGACAGGTGCTCAGTCTCGGTGTGTACTGACTATAAACAGCCACTAGAAGGCGACAAGGAGCAGAATTAACTTTCCAAACAAATATTACATTAATACGGATTATGATACTAATTAACCGTATATTTTTAGAACATGATTGGTTGACATGAATGTTTTTTTCTCCACTGACCGTGAGGCGTGTCTGTCACACAGCTAACAACATATAAGCGTTTCAGTTTGTTTGTTTTTTTCCAAATTTTTTCGTCTCTGTTTGATGTTTTAATAATTGTAAAATGTTTTCATGGTTTACCTTTAGATGAGAAACTAAATGCGTCCTATTAAATTGTACTTTGGTTTTTACTCCTGCTTTATAGGCTTTTTTTAACTCTAATTATTTTGAAAATTAAAACGAACGCAAAAATGTCACCACTAAGAACATAAACCTAACATGTTTTTGTTTCTGACTCGTGTCACCTGTTAATTATTAAAATAAAAAGCTGCTTTGCTTTAAATTTTTTCTTTTTGTGAACATCAATCACATTACATTGTAACAACAACCAAAACTCAACAAAAACAAAAAGAACAATTCAGTAGGTAAACCAAAACCTTATAACTAGACCATTAGAAATATTCTAGCTGCTTTGCTTTAAATGTATGGTTGCGCGAGCTCCTTCCGGAAAGCAAAAGTCCTTCCTCTGCCATATTAGGAAGGGGGCTTGGAAGATTGACGTCATGACGCGGGGGGCTGGATTACTGGAAGTGTGTCGGCTGTGTAATCTGCTGCTCGATGCAGAAACAGGAAAAGAAGCTATGGTCAGAGGAGAGCGGATTTATTTCTAAAGGGCAAAGATATTGAAACACTAAAAGAGAATGCTGCTGATCTGTTAATTACCTAGATAAATAAACAAAAATAAATAAATAAACTAGCTGCCGAAAAATGTGTTCAAGAAGAAACAAAAGGATGTTTTCTTAAATTTCAAGTGTTCATCTAATCAAATTTATTGATAACCAGAGGTGGATAACAAGTTACATTTACTTGAGTATCTTTGAAAGTTTTATACTTGTGGGAGGACTGTATTTTTACTTATTTTACATCGTATCATTAGGCCTACTCTTACTAAGAAACTAGTTACTCTACCGTATCTAGTTACTTCACTGAATGAACATTAACCACAAATGCAGCAGGACGGCATTTACAGATGCCACCAGTCCTCTGACCACCACCAGCAGGTGAGGAGGGTGAGTGTCTTGCCCAACACAACAGCAGAATTATATCCAGGGAAGGAAATCATAATAAGTCTTCTCATCTAAAACTCATTGGACATGCATGTTTTATATTTTCATGTAAACCATCCTTGTGAAATAAGCCAGAGCAAGTGTGTAGTTTAAAAAATATATTTTTTCCTTCTGTAAATCAGAAAAATGTTCAAAGTAGAGCAACTGCTGATTCTAGGACATGTTCTTTCTGAGCACTTGCAAGACTTTGAGTGTCATGGTTGATTTATGTTAAAGGTAACTTTTGTTTGTCAACCTATCAGTCCAAAATTGTATCTCAAACTGTTTTACAAAATATATTTTATAATGCATTTTAAAAGAAGGCTGATCACTTCTGTCTTTTTCTTTCATTCTGGACTAAACATTTAATTTGGGCCTTGCACACTCACCAATAGAGGGCAGGGTGAGCTTGCGGTGACTGCATCTGAGGAAAACGACTAATGAGCAGACACCACTGTGTGTGTGTGTGTGTGTGTGTGTGTGTGTGTGTGTGTGTGTGTGTGTGTGTGTGTGTGCGTGTGCGTGTGCGCGTGTGCGCGTGCGCGCGTGTGTGTGTGTGTGCGTGTGTGTGTGCGTGTGTGTGTGTGTGTGTGTGTGTGTGTGTGTGTGCGTGTGTGTGTGCGTGTGTGTGTGTGTGTGTGTGTGTGTGTGTGTGTGTGTGTGTGTGTGTGCGCGTGCGCGTGCGCGCGCGCGTGTGTGTGTGTGTGTGTGTGTGTGTGTGTGTGTGTGTGTGTGTGCGTGTGTGTGTGTGCGTGTGTGTGTGCGTGTGCGTGTGTGTGTGCGTGTGTGTGTGTCCCTTTGATGGACTGATAATCTATCCAGAATGTCCCCTCTCTTTTATCTAAAAGCCACTGCTTAGGTTCCAGCTCCATGTGACCCTTCTGAGGGAAGTTAGCTCAGAAAATAAACAAAAGTTGACTTTATGGTAATTTAACAATGTCAAATTCCATTCTGCCTAAATGTACATTCTAGTTAATTCTGCGTTTAACACTGGCACAGCAACAGTGCTATGAAGTTATTGGTGTTTTTTTCTCCACCACTAACCACACGACGGTCTGCCTTTCCATGCACACGTTTTGTTGTTTATGCCATAGTGGTTGTCCACATCACAGCAGGTTTCCTGTTGCTGCACAATAATGCAACCCAGTATAAAAAAATTAACCCTCTGGAGGCAGGCGTTGCAGATTTGCAACACTTAAAACCTACCTACCTGGTTACTCCACAGACGTGTTTCATGAGCATTTTTTAACTCAGAAGTACCCCTGAAGGACTTAGTTGTTCGTCCTTTTATCAACACTTATTTTGAGCCTGAGAGGGTTAATTTATATTCATTTTTATTTATTTGACAGATCCAAAACCTATAGAGCATGTTGTGACATTTGCAACATTACTGCTTTCTTCTGCACACAGTGCACACCATAAAGTGAGGTAAAAGCTTGAAAACTGGGGAGAGGCTGCTCGAAAAATTGAATCTGCAGCTAACAAATAAGTATGGGACTAGAACATAATTTCAGGGATCACAAAATGAAAGCATTCAGCTATGTGGCTATGAGCTCTTAAATGTCCGTATTTCCAACTCTTGTTTTCCTTTGAAGTCTTATGGCATTATGATGACAAAATATTACAATCTATAGATCTTCAAAAAACTGATTTTTCAAAAAATTGAATTTGCTCAACATCAGACAAAGACAACCCAAGTAAATACAAAATGCAGTTTTCAAAAGACGATTTCATTCAAATCGATCTAGCTAAGCCTGGTCCTTCATGAAAACGTAATTGGCCCCCTTGTTGAATGATAAATTAATTTGGGGCAAAAAGTATTTTAGTCAGCCACCAATTGTGCTAGTTCTCCCTCTTAAAAAGGTGGAAGGCCTGTACATTTTATCATAGGTATACCTCAATTATGAGAGACCAAATAAGAGAAAAATAATCCAGAAAATCACATTTTCTGATTTTTAGAGATTTTATTGAGGATAAAAGTATTTGGTCAATGACAAAAGTCCATCTTAACACTTTGTTATATGTTATATATTCGTGCCAGATTCTTAGTATAAGAGGAAGCCAAACACTGCTGATACCCCCGTTACATGCTGCTGTTGAAACCCTATGTCCTGTTCGTTTCCTTTCTCTTTTGGACCGGACAGCACATTAAAAGGACAGTTTAGGACAATATAAAGAATAAATTGCCATCATATGCCTTTTTTTTTTCAGTTTAAAGGTTTACAGTTTTTCTTGAATCATCCACTTGATGGCGCAATAGAGCAAATGAATCATCACGGTGCCCCAGATCAAGAGTCGACCAGTTGGATGGAAAGCTTCAGCTCATAATGAGACTTCAGCTCGCCATCACTAGACAGAGGTCAAACATTTTCTTCACAAGGTTTTCACACACTGTTGCTGGTATTTTGGCCCGTTCCTCCATGCGGATCTCTTAGAGCAGTGATGTTTAGGGCTGTTGCTGGGCTCCCTCCAAGATTTTCTGTGGGGTTGAGATTTGGAGACTGTTTAGGCTACTCCATGACCTTGAAATGCTTCTTATGAAGCCACTCCACTACCTGGGCAGTGTGTTTGGGATCGTTGTCATGCTGAAAGACTCAGCCATGTTTCATCTTTAATGCCCTTGCTGATGGAAGAAAGTTTTCACTCTAAATCTGACGATACATGGCCCCATTCATTCTTTCTTTTTCATGGATCAGTCGTCCTGGTCCCTTTGCAGAAAAACAGCTCCAAATCATGATGTTTCCAACCCCATGCCTTACAGTAGGTATGGTGTTCTTTGGATGCTCAGCATCACGACAAAAATTTCTATTTTGGTTTCATCTGACCATATTACG